CTGTGTATGTGCCATACCTGTGAAAGCTGGAAAACACTGTACAGTGATTACAGTGATTGCCACTGGCTTCCAGATCCAATGACAAGCAATTGCCCTGCTGCTTACTGAACACAGTGAGTCGGTCACATGGCATGGGTGGTATTTAGGGAATGCTTTGCATTTCTTCCAAGAATGCAAAGCATTCCTTGTTTAGACAATGTAGAGAGGTGGATAGGTGATTTCATGATTTCCACCTTGTCCAATCAGAGAGCACTTTGCATTAATTGAGAAAATGCAAAGTGTTCTCTGAATGGCACCTGTACTTAATTAGCAACCTTCTGTGTTCAGTAAGCAGCAGAGCAGTCTCTTGGCACAGGGCCTGGAAGCAGCTGCAATCCCTCTAATAGCAGTGACTACTACAGTGATTTCTCAGTTCCAGGGGATCCTACAAGTATGGAACATACATACTTACATTTGTCCAAGCTGGACCAATGCAGCTATGTATAAATTGCCATACTATAACTTTAACATTAAATATACAGTTGAAAGGTTTTTGCTATATCTGTTTGATAATGCTGTTGACTACAGAACATCTCCCCCCTTTCCTTTTTTTGGAGAGGGTGAGAGATTCTGTAGTATTAACACATTTTCTATCCTGTGGTAATAATGCTGCTCCTTTAGATACATGACTGCACAAGAGATAGGCTAGTCAGGAGCCCTTACATCACCATCTAATTTTCTCACATACCCCCACTATAACCAATCATTAAAGAAAACATAACACCGATTGGAGTAAAATGGCCAACACGGCTTTTTATTAACACTTCAACTTCAATACACAAAACATTCCTTAAAACAGAAACATATAAGGCAAGTTGGTCTTCGAAGGCACCAAACCAGAACCAATATCCACCTGCGGAACCAATACTGTAACTAGGCCTCCAGCCGCAATGCACTGACTCGGAGACAAAACATACCATCCACAGTGTAGAAGCACCACCTTCCAGTTAAACCTCGGTTAACTGGAATACCCCCGGGAACACCATATCGCCGATGGGTCCCAAACCATTATCTTTTACTCCAAAATAAGTGCTGCCTCCAAAGACCAACAACCGCTCCCGGAATCAGAATAACCCCCCCCCCCCCCGGGAGTGACAAAACACCCACTCAACCTCAAGGGCAGGCAGGAGGGAAGCTCTCTCTCCGCTGTCTGCTCCTGGACTGCAGAACGACCCTCCCCATACCCACCCACAGGTGCAGAAGACCCCACCTTCCACCCACAGTTACCAATCAGGTACTTAGCCTTAACTAAAACCCACCTCTTACTTTCCTCTCACCCTTTCCTGTCTTTTTTAACCCCCTCTTGGCCTAGTCATGTCTGTCCTGCGCTATTTTTCTTTTCTTTCCTTTCGCTACGGGCATCTCTGTACAATGAGTGAACGTTGACACCCTAATTTTGTGTGTATTTTGCTACAGGTCTTTGATAAAAAAAATCCCAATATGTGTAAATTATTTGGCTTATGTGAAAGTTATAGCGTTTACAAATGGCAGAATATATACTGGAATTATTTTTTAAAGGCGGCGATCAGCGACTTATAGCGTGACTGCGACGGGCATTCTGACACTGGGGGGAACTGACTTGGTGTCACTGAGATCCCCAGTGACACCAATACAGTAATCAGTGCTAATAAAAAGCACTGACACTGTATAATGGCACTGGACAGGAAGGAGTTAACATCTGGGGTGATCAAAGGGTTAACTGTGTGCTGTTTTACTATGTGGGCTGCATGTGTGTTTCACAGTAAGCACACTGCTTTGTATCCCTTTGCTATGCAGAGCCATACAAAGCAGTGTGCAGGAGTTGACAGGGGAGAGATCTGTACTGTTTACATACAGATCTCTCCCCTGTCAGAAATCCTTGGAGATTGCCAGACGACGCGGGGAATCACCGGCCAGGACCCGGTGATTGACAGATGAGGCCGCAAATGGCGTGCATGCCCTGTACCTGGAAATGCAAAATTATGTATATATACGTGATTTTGCACACCTGAGCCATCCTGTAGCAGTATTTATGCTATAGGGAGACGCAGAAGCGGATAAACCTGTATGTTTTTGATGTGGATACATTTTAAGGATTAACACTAACTCAGCTAAGGACAGTCATTAATATAAACATAATTTTTAAATGGAGAGTAGACACCACTATCTGCTGGACATTGCACTGCAAAGATTAATTCTCAAAATGGAGGGTGTGGTGCAGGGGCGGACTGACAACTCATGGGGCCCCCGGGCAATAGTGGATCATGGGGCCCCTGTGTCCTTGCCCAAACTCAAAAAAGCCTATGAAAAAGGTACTAGGGGCATCTCATGGGGCCCCCTACTGACCCCGGGCCCTCGGGCAGTGCCCGAGTTTCCAAATGGTCAGTCCGCAGTGCCCGAGTTTCCAAATGGTCAGTCCGCCCTGGTGTTGTGTCCTACAGAGGGTTCTTTGCATAATGCTTCAGAGAACATTCCATGATAGGAAAAGTGGCCACTCACATGACTTTGACAGGTCATGTGATTTGGCTGTTCTCTTCCTAGCACTTTCTTTTATTCCTTTCATGAAAATAAATGGATCTTCTCTTGCTTTAGAGCACAATTGTAAAGCATAGCACTGCTGTTTATAAATGTACCTTTTCCCACTTCTTTACTATTATTATTGTATTGAAGCCCTGGCAAGAGCTACTTGTTAGATTGGATGTTTTGCCTCAACTCAGTGATTGACCTCAGATCCTCTGACACACCAAGTTAAGGAGCACTCAAGTCTTCTGAGCTCCTCTGCTTGCGAGCCCCCCGCTGCTGAGTGGAGGTGCAGTAAGCTTAATCTACTCAGGGAGATAAAGCAACTGCTCCACAGTGTCCTAATTTGCTCTCTCTCTAGCCAAGCACATGGCTACAATATTATTACTATACAGGATTTATATAGCAACAACAGTTTGTGCAGTTAACAGGTTACACATGCATTGTTGTTTGCCTTTAAATAGTTTTGTCCCTTCCTTACTCTGTAGCTAGGAGATGCTCTGTATAGCTAGTCCCTCCTTCTTTTAAGTGTGTATTTAGTTTATGTTCTGAGCACATGTAATTGCTAGAGCTAGACATACTATGATTTTTTGAATCTATCTGATGTTCATCTGTTATGATCTGCACACGTTTTTGGATGAAAACTTTCTACAATGTGCAAGATGTAATTTGGATTAATTCACTGTCTGACAATGTTACTGAAACTGTAAGTTACAGCTATCATTCCACAACTAGATCAGTTATAGAGATCCCACTTTCAGTTCTTAGAATGGGGAAACAGAGCAGTGGCACTTTACAAAATAAAGGGAGACAGTACAGTTACAATGCAATTTAATACAAGAGTGTTAGGAGGGCCCTGATCCTGAGATGATGGAGAAGGCAAAAGTTCAGTTGTTAGGTAAAGGAGGGGTAGGTGGGTTTCCAGTGATTGTCTAAAGGCGGACAGAGTAGGATATAACAGAACAGATTGGAGTAGGGAGCTCCAGTGGATGGGAGAGACTCTGGGGAAGTAATGGAAGCAAGCTTTATGAATAAGCCCCTATTAATTTCCTCTTTGAATTTTGGGTGCCACCAAAGAATGAACACATCAAACACACCATTTAGAACTTTAACACCCTAAGTCCTAAAAACATTTAACAGAATGAAAATCACTTCATCTGATGTTTTCTAAGCAACGCTTGATGTTCATATTTATTTGCACGGAACATATGGAACAGGACTGAAGTATCTTAGAATGTTAGGAGATGGTTTACTATGCTTTTCTAATTTCATCTCAATATAATAAAATACTGTACATTCAAAAGGTGTGAGTATGGCACTAACACATGTACATCCCCGGCCGCTACCTCTGCAGCTAAAGCTTTATGTGTGAATGAGCCCTAATAGTGCAGCCAATCACAGTGTCTCTGATCACCACCACGCCAGTCACGTTGTCTCCAGATCAGTGTAGCTAGAATCAGTGGTCCAGCTTGCCACCACACCAGACCAGTGCATCCAGCAACAGTTTTCCTGATCTCTGCCACACCTTTCCCAGTGTCACCAGACCAGTGTATGCCAGCAACAGTGTTCCTTATCACTGCCATGCTCGTTTCAGTGTCACCAGACCAATGTAAGCCAGGAACAGTGTACGTGATTGTCACCAGACCAGTATACGTCAGCAACAATGTTCCTGATTGCTACTGCACAATCCCCAGTTTCACCAGATTAGTGTAAACTAGCAACAGTATTTCTGATCACCGCTACACAAGTCCCAGTGCCACCAGAACAGTGCAGCAAGCAACAGTGTTCCTGATCACCACCACTCCAGTGAAATGTGGCCTCTGCCTGTCACTTGTACTGACCAAGGCCTGATTATTGACCATGTTTCTGCCTGCTGTCTGGACCACCCCTTTGTCTGTTTGCTGACCAAGTCTCTGCCTGCCACCTGAATTGACATAATTGCACATCCAGCTGATTATGTTCCTGTGAGACACCAGTCCCAGCACTTCGACTGCACAACTGGAACCACAGGAACGCTTTCTTGAGCCTCCTGCACTTCCTGGCCAGTGAAGATGGCATTCTAGGAGGCAACCACATAGCAGTAGGCTAGTCTTGCTTGGCTTATAGGAATGGGGACTGCTTTAGGAGATGCTACGAAGCTATATTCCCTGATCACTTGTATAGAGGCAAACACTACAGTACATTGGATTTGATACAATTGGTTGGTTTGTGTGATACACAAAATACAATGCTCGGTAACACTGAAAAAGTCTCACACATGTGGAATCACCATACTATGAAGTAGTAGCAGAAGTATACCTATGCTGTGTGTTAGAAATATCTCAGTAATTGACAACTTTGTCTGAAAAAAATAAATTTTCATTCTCTATGTGGGTAGAAACAGAGCGTACATGGGAAACAAAAGTGGTTCAGGACCCTTGGCCAAGGGGTTCTTTATTAAAGGAGTTTAAAATGCACAGGGCAGGGGCGGACTGACCATTTGGAAACTCGGGCACTGTCCGAGGGCCCGGGGTCAGTAGGGGGCCCCATGAGATGCCCCTGGTACCTTTTTCATATGCTTTTTTGAGTTTGGGCAAAGGACACAGGGGCCCCATGATTCCCTATTGCCCGGGGGCCCCAAGAGTTGTCAGTCCGCCCTTGGCACAGGGCTTATCAAAAGGGTAAAACCACAAGGTAGCATTATATATACAGCAAAGTCTAGAGTCATAGGGTAGCAGTCCAGGCACAGCAAAAGACAGGCAGCAGAATCGCAGAGCAGCAACATGGTAGAGCAAAGAAAAAGTCCAGATCACAGTAATCTGGGCACAGCAAAGATTAAGTCAAAGGTCACCAGGGGGGTCAGACTACCTGAAACTTTCCACGTTGGTGGTGTGAAGTGGTGGGACCTACATGCAGGCACTGGGGGAAAAGAATGCAGCTTTTATCCCAAAACCTAGGTGTCATGGAGTGGTGGGTTATGTGTGGAAAACAGTAGAAAACCTTGCTGGGTCACAGGGACAGTTAGGGTACAGAGTGTCCCATGATAGTATCACTTTCAGGCAGCAAAATAAGGGCAATGATGAGCAGAAAGAGTTTGAAAGAGACTGAAGGAGATCTGTAGTACAGAGGTTCAAAAGTTTTAGGCTTCATGTAAATGAATGCTTAGCCCGATGCATGAGGCTCAGGTGTTTAGCTGCACCTGGAGGGCACACTTTCAGCCCTGTTGCCAGCAGCCTGTTGAACTCTATAGGAGTGGACATGACTGAGCGGTGTACCTGTGCCCTCCAGCCACAGCTAAATGCTGTAGCCCCATGCCCAGGCCTAAAAAGGTGAAAAAAGTATATTAGGAAAAAAAAAAAAGCATGCCATTTTTTTCATGATATGCAGTGCATTGTTAGTCTAAATGTCATCCAGGTAGGATTTACATCAACGTTAATACTCATTTATGATTTTTTTACAGACTTATAAAAATTGAACATACACCAAGAAACTCTCCGGAGGATGCCAGATTGGTAATCTACTACTGTATGTAACCATGGTCCCTTGCAGATATTGATAACCTCCAGAGTGCTAACATCAACTACCAACAAGCAGTTACAAGCCCCATGAGAAGAACAGAAGGGGATTATAATTGGGAAGCACCTGTATGTGTTATCACTGTGATGTCTCTAAAGTATCCTGATTGAGGGAAACCTTCTGCTCAACTCTATGTGGTATAAAATAGTTTAATACAGGGATATTAGTACCTGTGTTGTAATTATAAGTGTACAAGGAGTACTATTTCTCTAAATGTATGGATATTCAAATATAGCTTTTTTGTACATAATAGTTTATTAATTAATTTATATCAGGAACATACTTGACTTTCCTCACCTAGAACATTGAAGCTGACCTCCACCCTGTAGTTTTCCAGTCCGAAGGAATGGTTCAGTGAGCCAATGATAGGATGAAAAATTAGACAGCCAGGAGTCACATGCAGCAGAGCTACTGCTTGGTTACCCTTGGGACATTACTGCTGGGTCTATTTTAGGTAAGCTCAGTGGAGTGGAGGTCCCAGGGAAAACTTGGCGATATCAGGAGGACTATAAATGACCTGGGAAGTCAGGAATCCCTCAGGAAGAGCTTGAGTCTGTTGCCAGGCTATGGGTAGTCTGTACTGACTTATTCTGCTCCTAGTAGACTGAAAATATTTTTATGCTTGTAATACTATTGCATGCCTATCAGTTACTTTAAGCCTAAACTTGGACAAAAAGATCTTAAAGTGAAATTTAATCTTAAAGTTAACAGCCTATTTGCCTTTAGTAAATCAACCCTGTGAGTCAACAGCAAGTGAATTTAAACATGCTTGGAACAAATATAGTAATATACTCAAACAAAAAGAAAAAAAATGATGAGCAGACTTAATGAACCATTTCGTCTTTTCTGACATCACTTTTCTATGTTCCCATTGCAAGTTGTACCCAAGTAGAAGGCTTGGCTTAGTATAAGGTCTTTTTTTATTGATTGTTTTATTTCTGCATGTCAGATGTTGAGTAGCATGGTTTATAATATACAATGCCAAAATTTTAACAAATAAAATTTATTTTAGAAAAATCATGATGTACTATTTATGTTGGGTTGTAGCAATGCTAAGGTTACTAAAGGTTATGGTTTGCAAATTGTCTCTGTATAACTTATGGCATGTTTTTAGAATGTATTACCACTTTTAATGAGAAAAAATGCTCCCCAGTCAGATTTGTTGTTGCAACCTCTTAGATAGGTTGCTAGGACTAGGTAAATTTAGTTTGCCTTTTTCTTTGCTTCACTGTAGTTATTGGAGCAGTCTGTGATTGCTTTGGGCTGTTCTGGGCTTTGCAGTTTGCAGGTTTGATTGCTTCCCCTCTGTTTCCTGTAGGATTCCAGAATATAGTGGGTGGCAGGTGGTAGTTCAGCAGACAGAATATTTATGTTCCTTCAGACAATCCTTGGGGGAGGTTGCCCAGAAGGTGACTGGGAGAATGCATAAATAATTTGGAGCCTGAGGCAGCCCTGTCTTGTCCAAGAGGAGAAGTTCCCAACCTGAAGGGCTGCCACCCTTCTGGGCAGCCCAGTTGAAAATTCTACCTGTGCTCATCGAAGTCCCAGTTGCAGCAGAGCTAAGGGGCCTGTTCTGCTAAACATTTTGAAGCTAAGCAAGGGATTTCACTGGAGATCTGGTCTGGAAGATTCACTGAGGAAATATCTATCTGATATTGGGGGAGGCATCCTAGTTTCCAGGGACATTGTGAGTACAGATGCTTATATGTCTAGCATATCAATACTAGTGCTTGCCTGGCCTGAGACATTGCTGAAGGTGTCACAGTGCTATTCATTTTCTCAGTCTTTGCTGGAAGGACTATCCTAAATACTAGTATTACAGTGAAGAGCATTCTCAGTTTATTGCTCAGCATTCATGGAGTACCCCACAGCTCAACTGTGAAAATAGGAAAATATAGTGCTACTACCTATCCAAATAACCAGCATTAGCAGAGCTCAAAGGTGCCCAATCTGCAGTCGCACATCTGTAGACAGTTATCCATAGAAGTGATGCGCACCACCATTGTTGCTATTTAAAATCTTGCTTTATTGTAGAAAACCACAGTGTGCAAATTGATAAGTTGATGCATTTCAGCCTACTTGGCTTTAGTCAAGGTATGACTAAAGCAATGTGGGCTAAAACACATCAACCTGTTATATTATTGATTTGTACACTGTGGTTTCTATCACAAAGCAAGATTTTAAAGAGCAAGAATGGTGGTGCAAATCATTTCTATGGATAGGTATCCCACAGCTCCCTATGTCCTATCCAAGTTATTCAGCAATACATTTGAGTAAAAAAAAAGGCAACCCCTAGCCTGTTCATTGATCCAGAAGAGTGACTGTTGCTGTATGCCTGGCTGCCATTGCACTAATCTGGGAAAGAAACCTGGGACAAATCAGCGCCCCCTACAGGTGTGAGCGCTGCATTATACATACTGCATTTAAGCTACTATTTTCTGAGTGAATGGAAAGATCTGCCTGCTATAGTCATACCATAGGCTCCAATGTTTTATTAATAGAAAAAAAAGCTGCGGACATCAGTGTGCCAATCACAAGAACAAGAACAAGGAGGACATTTTTGATTTTTTTTTCTAGTCTTGAAAGATTATAGCCGGTGGCAGATTGAAAGATAAGTTATTTCAACAAAAAATGATATTATATAAAATTATAAAAAGGCATGTACAGCATTTTATTTTATTTTATTTTATTTTTTTAATCAAAAGTCCAGATATCCTTTGTGTGGAGGAGCCACTGTTGGAAAGACTGTAGTAAATATAGCAGGATCTGTTTCATCCTATGAATACTGGCTCTATGAACACTTTGAAGTCTTCCAGCTAATAAATGTAATGTAAAGCAAGAAAATCCCAGAATATAGGTCTAACATATTTGGAGATGTATTCTTGGCATTCTTGTGCGTCCTTTGGAAGGTGAGTGTGAGAATCTTTGTAACATGTCAGTTAGCTCTCTGCTCTACACAAGACTTCACATGGTAATTAAACAGAGGAGGCTTTGGGATATTTTGAAGTTTTATAACTCTACAGCACTGCCTGAAACCTCTCCCAGGCCCGGCTCCCACCTCTAGCTGTGGGAATTTTCTTTAGTTACACATGGCCTCACAGGTAAACAACTTCTCAGATGGGGAGTTAATCTGCAGTCTCAGGTTTCAGTGTGGGCATTGCAAGGTGACATTCTATACATGGTACAAACCAGTGTTTGATTATACATAGATAGAAATGGCAAGCATGCAACAGACGTGCAAACATGACAAAGACAAAACTAACCATCAATCTCTGTAACTGCCTTGTAGTTGTATGACACCAGTAACTCGACCATAGGCATCATGTTGTCTACTTTATGCTATAGACCAGCAAGGCCTTGTCAACACAGGCTTCATCCTGTATGGGGCTCTTTAACACTTGTTTTGTCTGTGAAAAGCAATCTATGGAGGAAAGCTTTTCACAGAGCAGCAAGGGGGCAACTGGCAGGAGTTTTAGGATGTGATACTGCCTCTTTATTTTTGACAATAGAAATACTGTGTCACATTTGGATTGGGTTTGCAGCATGACCCCATTCACTTGCAAGGGTCATGTAGTACTGCCCACTGAAAATGATGAGGTGATAGTGTGTTGCCTGTGTGGCATATGTAAACCCTTGTATGCTGCCACTGCAGCAAAAGGGGGTGGGCAGTACAGTGATGGCAGTAAAATGATGCTCAATTACCTGTTTTTACTGCCCCCCACCACAAGTGTAAACTAGGCCTATGAGCAGTGTGTACTGCAAGCTTTTAAAAAGCATGTAGCAAGCTTTATGTAAAGTTTTTTAAAGCACCCTACAGCTTCAGCTTAACGTGTATCTATATACAAGAACAACAATTGAATATAATGCAGCTTTGCAGTCCTTAGATGTGGTGGCTGAGTTTGTTTTCTTTATTTTGCACTCTTTCTTCTTTATTCTCATCTGGTGATCCTGCCAGAAACATACTTTCTCTCCTTGGGTGACAACCGCGCTGTATCTAGAAGGAGCAGCGTTGTCATGCCATGAAGGGAGTGTATTGAAACTATGTATATAACACCTCCCTCTCTCCATAACATAGGGAGTG